CTATCTTCAGGTGTCAAGAAGAGAACCGAAGTGTAAATACCAAAAATGGCCTCTGAAAAACTTTTAAAAGATAAAAGGTAATATTAAAAATACAGATGACATACTCAAGATGAATAAATGTCTCAAATACATGAGCATGTGAACAGAATTATGGTTTTTTCTGTGTGCAGCTGTAGCAAACCTGTGCCTGTGTAGCCACCACATGTAGCAACACCCTGTGCTAAGACTACTTCTTCATGCTTATTCCTTTTTTCTAGCTTTACCCTCTATATTTCAGGCAATACTTTCTACCAGTTAGGAAGGTGTTTGTCAAATTTTAAGCAGGCATTTCCACAGGACAGAACTCAGGGCTGTGATGTTGATAATTGAATAATAAATCTTCATGTTCTGGTCTCAAAAAATAATTATGGTACTCTGAAGTATACATGTATAAAGACAGTTTATAACAAACAAACCATGAACTATGGAGCCTATTAAAAAATCCTTAAGCTTCTCTTCATCCAGGATCAAAAACTTAGCCTCTCCACCAGTTTCTTCAAACTTTAAAACCAGGGAAGTAAAACCCGTATCTTGCATCTGGGAAGAAATTTATGTAGCAACTGACCTGCCAGCTATGTTGACAATAACTTCATAGTAAATACTAACACTTGAAGTTTCTTTTCCATATTTGTTTGATTAAGAATTTCCTTTATTTTAATGGAGGTTGAGAAACTACATCAAAAGAAACTGTATTGTTACTGCTGATTTTAGGTGGACTACCTATAATTTTTAATTAATTGTGTGATGATAAGCAATTGTATCATTTTGTAAGAGTAGAATATGCAATCTCATGTGGTAAACTCATAGACCGTATTTCAGATGCAGCAATTTCAAGTTCACATTCCTGAAAATCAAAAATATCTCCTTTTATTCAGTGCTTTACAGTTTCTCTTCTGTTAAGCACACAGACTTCCTCAAGGTAATAAAGAAAATAATATTGCTATACTGACATGTTAAGAATATACCCAATTCTTAAGCAAACTGCCTACAGTGGTGCCTTCAGACACCACCTTTACACAGACTTCTTTGTGCTGTTAAAAGCCAAGCGTTCAGGGCTCTGCACAAATATGTGCTGGTCCACACCACTGGGTGTGTCAAAAAACTAAGACTGGATTTAAAAAAAAATCGTTTATAAGCTTTTTCTCAGGACCACAGGAAAATCCAGGCTAGAAGGAAGCTGAGGATGTCTTTAATTCAACCTCCTGCCTAAAGCATGGTAGGCTCTGAGCTCAGACCAGGTTCTCAAGGCTTGATCCAGCTGGGTCTCGAGAGCTCCCAAGGATGGAAACGGCACAGTCTCTCCTGCCAACCCACTTCCCAGCTGTGCTTGTGGAGACTGTGTTTTCCTTCTTCCCAATGGGAACTATCTGGTCTCAGTTAATGCCATCATCTCTCACCCTCCTGCCACACAGCCCTGCTGAGCCTGGCCTCATCTCCATCATCATCCTCTCGACTGTGGAAGGCTGCTGCTGCACCACTCCAGAGCCAGCTCCAGACTGAGCACACTCTGTTCTTTCCAGCTCTGAGTGCTAAAGCTTTAAAAACCTCCATTCCCAGTAAGAGTAATGCAAATTCAACCATTTATTACGGACGTGATGACTCTTAACACAACAGTCCAAATGAAATTAAACAAGTGGACATGATGTCTCTGAATCCTAGTGGAAATTATTGCAATCAGAACCTTGTGGAATTAAACCCTATTTGTACACCAGGAAAACACTTTTCTGTGCTTACTAGAAATGCTTTTATCAGTATGGTGTGTGATATGCTCTAACAGGCACACTGAATTAGCAGTAGTTGTGTACCTGCTGAGAAGTAATATGCTGCATTTCATTAATGCTTCAGGTATATTCTAAAATAAAACTCAAAACACACCGCAGACCTCAGGGGAAGAAGTAAATGAGTAACTCAGTTGGAATGGAATTATGACATTAGTTTGCAAAACTAGTAATAAACTATGGGCCAAGATGCACAAAAAAAACCCCAGATGGATAAAACTTACGGATCATTTTTAAAGGCAGTTTCAACTATTCTCATGCTAAGTTTTGGTTCCTCTGATGTACACACCAAAGGGTGATTTACATAAGTGCAACACTGGATTTCCCTCTGCCACAGCATATGGTAATACTTCCTAAATTGCCCTTCTGCAACAGGTGCTCTGTTTTATGATGTAATTTTACCTGGACCTTTAATGCGTAAAGCCATAAAATAATGAGGCTGTTTCCAAGGTAAACGGGGCCACCCACTGACTTCATCCTGTGCTAGAATGGGAGGCATCGAGGTGCCCACACAGAAGTGACTACAAACATGACATGTTAGGGTCACACACTACTTGGATTTATGCTCAACCACCACCTAAAGCCAGGCTTTAAGATGCAGTCTGGCCATTTCATCTCTCCACTGCAGCCATCGCTGCATGTGGGTAGCCACAGTTTATTATCAAAAGCCACAATCAGCGCAGAGCGCCCGGAGCTCAGAGCTGCCTCTCTGAAAGGAGCTTCCTCAGCAGCACCAAGCACGTGGCGTGTCACCCTGGGGATGTCAACGTGCCAGTGCCCACATCTGTGCCCTAAGAAGGCTGATTGTGCAAATTTTGGAGAGAATTTACAGCTTGGCTCCTTCCTTCTGACACTGAAGGTCCTGCCCTCAAACCCACTGGAAATTTTCAGCATTATACATTCAGCTATGATTATTTACTTAAGAGAAAATGGCATAACACAGGGAAGCAATGAAAATGTCTGTTCCAAATCTTTACCATGCCCACGTCTCCTAATTTGTTTTAAAATGCCTGAATATATGCAGAGCTCCTGAGTGTTTACACAGTTAATTAACTGATTTACCTCCCTTCCTACCATTATCCTCCCAGGGATAAATTAATGACTAATGAAATCCACCTGAATTATTTTCATCTGTCTAATTAAACAAAGGATACAGCCTGTGGATGATTTTAACAAGGTATCAGTTGTTATCTCATGACTTTGCAATCTTCCCTTTTACCTATGGCTTTGCAGCATATTTCAATGCTCAGTTTCCATGGGGAAAAACCAGCATATCCACTGGATCACACACCAGTGCCAGGCCTGTCAGTAACAATAAGTGCATTAGGTGGACAAGGCAGAGACTGCAGAAACTGGAGGCAAAATTCATTTCTTATACATTACTTTAAGCAGGACAGAAAGGGAGGGCTGTGGTTGAGCTGGAAATAGTTCAAGGAAAAATGGAGGGTTGTGACTAAACACAGAAAATCATGAAGGGAAAGATGAAGGGACAAGGAGGTGGAATAATGCTGTTGATTGGGTTATTTATACACGTGTCAGGTTTTACGTAAGTATGGTGATAATCAAATTGTAATTCTCTGTTCCTTTGAGAAATGGTCTACAAACACACAGTGACAGGCAGAACCCTGGAGAGCTGACAGTCTGAAGAGATGAGGCAAATAAAGGGTGAAGGGCTCAGACAGCGCTGACTTGCTCAAGGCTACATCACTTCCAAGTGGCCAGAGAGTCCTTTTACTGCTGTAGCTATTGCTACAGCAGAGACCAGGAAAAGGACCAGGAAAAGGACCAGGAAAAGGACCAGGAAAAGGACCAGGAAAAGGACCAGGAAAAGGACCAGGAAAAGGACCGGTTTGTGCAGGTGAGAAGAGCCCAATGAGAGGTCAGTGCTGCTTTGAGCACACAGGTTGGTAGGTCCATGGTTTCCCTGTTACTGGCTGTTTTTAAGGCCATACCAGAGCATTCCTGGCAGGTGCTGGAGGACACCCTGGAAAGCAGAGCCCTGCCCTGTTTCCTGGACATACAACAGGTACATCACAAGTGATACAAAACACGAGTCTGCCCCTTCCTTGAGATGCTCCATTCTGTCTCTGAGCATTGTGGCTGGGGGAGCTCCTGGCTATTTTCCCTGAGCAGTTCCATGCCAGTTTCCTGCCATGGTGGTCTGCCCCTCTCCAGCAGGGAGGGCAAACAGGGCTGGGACAGCATGGCAAGGCTGCTCCATGCCATCCCAGCCCTGCCACCACTGCAGCACTGCGGGATGTGAGGAACACCGGCCACCAGCAGCACAGAGGAGCTGGGGAGACACCTACCAGCCACTGCTGTGCCTGTACCCATCTGCTAACGCGACCCAAGGAAAGCAAACACCTCAGCCGTGGGTTTCCTCAGCTGTTAACTCTGGCACACACTGCAGCTGTGCAGCTCCCAGCCAGCCCTGCCCCAAACCCGGGCACTGCTGCAGCCGCCGCACAGGGCGGAACGTGGCTGGGATGCTCCCCTGGTCCAGCTGAAAGGCACCCGTGATAACTCCGTGCCCTTTGCCTTGACCGGCAAGACTTGTTTTTAATCCCCAGATCAGGTCACTAAGCTGAAGAACACAAACGTGGCATTTATAAAAGGGCAGTGCCCACAGATGCTCGCCTGCCACATCAGTGTTTGGGACCAAAAACTCCTCTTCCATGAGTCGAAGTTTTTTCTGAAATTACTCAGAACCTCTCAGCACGTGTTACTGGATTTTACCCATAGTCTATTTCAGTACAAGGGCAGACATAAGAGCTTTAACCAACTCACAGGCAAAAAAAGGCTTGATGTCTGCCAGGAGACCGTAACCTTTGCAGTCTTTTGGTTTGCTGGTTTTCTGTTAGTTTTGTTTGAGGTTTTTTACTCACTGAGAGTCCCATAAACAAGAAATTCGCCCCAAAGGAAATCATACACCTTCCCTTCCCCTTCTCCATCCTCCCTCATTATTTCTTCTCCACACATGCTGTCTGCAACGAAAGAGGTAAAACCACCCACAATCCGCCTCTGAATCCCAAAGAACAAATCCACCAGGGACAGAAATCCCCTTCGCAAAGCACGAACAAACCGGAGCACTAAAATCCGCGAACACAAATCGGCGACCTACCGAGGAGAAGCCGCCGGAAGGATGGACGGGCAGGATTCGGGCGGCAAAGCCGCTCCGCTTACCTTGATCATGCTGGCGGGAGGGGGAGATGTTCCTGCGGGGCTCCGGGCGGGATGGAGCGGGATCGCCGAGCCCCGGGGGCCGATAGAGCGGCGCTGCGCGGGACCGGGGCCGGCCGGGGCTGCTGCTGCCGGTGCTGCTGAGGCTCGGATCGCTGCTGCTGCCGGTGCTGCTGCTGCTGCCGCCGCTGCTGCCGGGCTCGGATTGCATCAGCGGGCGAGGGCGGCGCGCTCGGCGGGCGCTCGGGGAGCTCGGCGAGCAGCCGGGGCCGCCCCGCCACCCACAATCCGCCTCTGAAACCCAAACATCAAATCCACCAGGGAAAGAAATCCCCTTCGCAAAGCACGAACAAACCGGAGCACTAAAATCCGCGAACACAAATCGGCGACCTACCGAGGAGAAGCCGCCGGAAGGATGGACGGGCAGGATTCGGGCGGCAAAGCCGCTCCGCTTACCTTGATCATGCTGGCGGGAGGGGGAGATGTTCCTGCGGGGCTCCGGGCGGGATGGAGCGGGATCGCCGAGCCCCGGGGGCCGATAGAGCGGCGCTGCGCGGGACCGGGGCCGGCCGGGGCCCCGCCGCTCCCCGGCACCCTCAGCGCCCCCCCGGCCTCCACCGAGCCCCGGCATCCTCACCTTCCCCCGGTATCCTCACCTCCCCGACACCCTCGCCGCCCCCCCGGGCCCCGGGAAGCGCCTCGGCTGCAGCCGGGGCACCCCCGCCCTAAAATGGCCCCGCATCGTGCGCGGAGGAGACAGAGCAGGGTTTGAGCCGTAATTCACACTGAGCCACGTTCTCCTCGGCCGGCACTAAGCAACTCATGGTGTTCTGAGTCATTTCCTCTGTCTCGCTGGGTCCGACACGCTGACACACCAACACCTCGCGGTTACCCTCCCGCCAGCGGCTCTTCGCTGCTTTCCCTCGCCGGGGCTCCGGGCACGGCTGTGCCGAGCGCCCCAGCACTGCCACCGGGCACAGGGGCACAGCACCCACTGTATATGGGATCGGTGGGGCTGACAGATGTGTTTCCCTGCTCACCCAACACAGGGACACAGCACCCACTGTGTATGGGATTAGTGGGGCTGACAGATGTAGTTTCCCTGCTCACCCAACACAGGGACACAGCACCCACTGTATATGGGATTAGTGGGGCTGACAGATGTGTTTCCCTGCTCACCCAAACACAGCAGCACAGCACCCATTGTATATGGGATTAGTGGGGCTGACAGATGTGTTTCCCTGCTCACCCAACACAGGGGCACAGCACCCACTGTACCTGAATTAGTGGGGCTGACAGATGTGTTTCCCTGCTCACCCAAACACAGCAGCACAGCACCCACTGTATATGGGATTAGTGGAGCTGACAGATGTGTTTCCCTGCTCACCTACTGCCACCCAGCAAGGGCACAGCACCCACCGTATATGGGATTAGTGGGGCTGACAGATGTAGTTTCCCTGCTCACCCAACACAGGGACACAGCACCCACTGTATATGGGATTGGTGGGGCTGACAGATGTAGTTTCCCTGCTCACCCAACACAGGGACACAGCACGCATTGTATATGGGATTAGTGGGGCTGACAGATGTGTTTCCCTGCTCACCCAACACAGGGGCACAGCACCCACTGTACCTGAATTAGTGGGGCTGACAGATGTGTTTCCCTGCTCACCCAGCACAGGGGCACAGCACCCACTGTATATGGGATTGGTGGGGCTGACAGATGTGTTTCCCTGCTCACCCAGCACAGGGGCACAGCACCCACTGTATATGGGATTGGTGGGGCTGACAGATGTGTTTCCCTGCCCACCTGTACCCCAGCACTGCCACCCAGCACGAGGGCACATCATCTATTGTACCTGGCATTACTGGGGCTGCCAGATGTGTTTCCCTGCTCACCCAAACAGGGGCATATCTGGGATTAGTGGGGCTTAACAGATGTGTTTCCCTGCACACCCAGCACACACTGTACCTGGGATTACTGGGGCTGCCAGGTGTGTTGTTTCCCTGCCCAGCCATGCCCAAGGTCTGGATGTCCCTGCAGAGCTCGGAGCCACCTCCACGTTCTGGTCCCTGGCAGGCAGCTGGCCAGCACCCAAAGACAATAAATATAGCAGCCTGTCCACTGGGTTGCTTCTATGCGTTCCTGTGAAACTAATAAAAAAAAAATTTTTAAAACTCACGATTTTTTCAGAGAAAATGCTGCTGTAGTGTTCACAAAGTGCTTCCTTTCATCATAACTGATGAAACATAAACAACGTAAACATTTACGTTTAAGTCTTTTCTTCCTTTACTAATGTTTTTGTAAAGATTTTCCCCTTCTGATCTCCTTCAGAGTTGTTGTAGGAAGCTGTTTCATCTCCGTGTGACTGTCAGAAGTGCCAGGTTCTGCTGTGCACGATGCACATGAATTATTCTCTGTTGTACAGTGCCAGAGATTGGTTACAGAAGTAGGTTTTTGCTCCTGCTGCTCTTCAGCCAGGTAAAAAAGTGCTGCTTAGTGGATTTACAAGCACTTTGGATTCCAAAAGAACACAGGTGAGCAGCACTACCCAAAACAGAAGATCACATGAACAGTGATATTTCAGCAGCTATTTAGGAGAGGAGAAAGAGGGAACAGAAAACAGAAGGCAGAAAAAGCAGCAAAGAAGCTTTAGATAGGTTCAACTCCTCACCAGGGCAGTACTACCCAGTGCTGATGAGAGCAATTCAATCCATTCACAAGGAGTTATCTTCAGGTTACAACCATGCATAAAAGCCATAGGAACATAAATAAACACCATAGAACAGCCAGGCTGGGTCAGGCCACTTAACTCAATATCCTGTCACTGTAATAATGCCTGCAGAGGAGTTTCAAGAAGAGAATAAGCACACAGAACACACTTATCCCTCAAAGGATTTGTGCCACATCAACTTCTTGAAAGATTAATTCTCTAAGCTTAACAGCTCCTCATGGTTTTTTGTTCTATTAATTTGTTCCTTGAACCTACATAAAATTTGATATCTTTCAGATCTTGTGCTCATCAGCTCCACAGTTTAGCTCTGTTCTGTGGGAAACTTCACAATTTTGCTTTGTTTTGAATTTGCCACTTGAAAACTTCACATCATTCTCCATTTTTTCTGATACTGAGAGACTGTAAACACAAATGAAGAGCACTTTACCCCCTGCATGGAACTTGTGATTTTACAGGCAATTGTCAAATCCTCTGTCAGCCACCTCCTTTCTCCAGCTGAGGAGCTCTAATCTTTTTTGTTTACTATAAAACAGTTCAATAACCTTGACCATCCTTGATTTAGGATGGGGACATGAGCTACACAACACTCTCAAAAAGCAGATTACCATATTTAATTTGCCTTTTTTTCCTCCTCTATTTCTTTTCATTATAGTTCTGTTTCCTGTTCAGACTGTTCATGAGCACTAAAGTGAACCAATCTATTTCTGAACTACTTCATTCAAAGATTTCTCTGCTGAAAGGCAACACTTCATTCATAACCCATCCATTTATATAAATTTAGCTTTTTTTTTTTTTTGGTTATGTGCATAACTTTATACTCACAGACATTATTATATGTTGTTTTTACAACTGTGTATTCAGTTCCATAAGGTCCTGCTGCAGATAGCCCCAGTTTGGCTGAATTGTTTTAACACCCTTTCCCTGAAGGCTTTAAATCTCATCAGCAAACTTTGTCTTTCCTCTGTTTGCAGCAATTTCCCCTTCTCTCAATTACAGGCTCTCTCATCTGTTTCTTATCTCTTACCCAATTAAAGAGAGCAACCATAAAAGCACCTTTCTTTTCTATGAGCCTTTGCTAAAGCACTTTGTCAAATGCTTTGGAAATCCACTTGGATTATATTCCTTGAACCTTTGCTTCCTCTGAAGGAGTTTATAGGTAGGTCAGGATTTCCTTTCAGAAAAGTCATGCTGAGTCTCTCACTGGCATATTTATCCATATATCTTTGTGAATTTCTTGTTACAGCTTGTGCATTTTCTCACTTCAGTAGCCTGAATCCCTTAAGAAAGAAAAGGCAAAAAAAAATGAATGAAAGGAAAAAAAAAAAAAAAAAAAAAAAAGCTGTTTGAGTGCAATCTGACTGTTTCCCGAGCTCAGTTTACCAGTCTGAACAATCAGTCTTTTACCAAAGTTCTCTGCAACATGCTCACCCATAGAGATGCATTTCAAATTATCCTTAAACTGCTGCCAACTACTGAGGTACAGAGCAGAATCCATGGCCTGGGCAAAACTAAGAAACAGGAGAAGGAAAGGGAAAGAAGAAATATTATCTGAAACTCAGAGAAGCTGCAGAATTTACTTGAAAAGTTGCATCTTGCTGCAACGTCCCCAAACCTGAAGCTGCCATTAGTAAATGGGCCAAAAAGATGTATTTTTGGAGGGATAGTTTGCATTACCTCAGACTAGTTACAGTCCTTTATGTAACACTCCAAAAGTTACAAGGCAAAGGACATTAGATCTTTACCTCTGGTGATTCACTCAGTTGTGTTGCTCCATCAGTAAGAAATTACATTGTCTACACTCTTGAGTATTTAATTTTCATAAAACATTATTCATTTCAACGCTGGTTTTTCCATTAACACCAAGAAATCTGTGAACGCTTGACAGCACTGTTAAACTTTAGAAGTTTTAATGAGTAAATTTTTCACACATATGAGAGAATAAGGTAATTTATATGCTCCAAGTCCAAAGTGTTTCCACAAGTTGTAGGGATTCACGAGGGGAGGAATTTGAGTCACACACATTTTCCAAGCCAGACCTGAATAAATTCACCTTGAAGCCACTGAAACATAAGGAATTACTGTTGTGGAAGTGAAAAGGCAGTATGATAGAAAGCCAAATGGGAAGTGTTGAAAGAGGAAGCTTGTAGATCTATAATTCTGTAACAATAAAGAGCACAAACCCTTCTTGATACACTGCAAACTTTCCTCTACAACCCTGGTTGTATCCTCTGAAGAGGATAGGGAGAAGATGGGTAGAAACCTGGTTTTCCATGTAAGAGAAAGCTAGGATTCTGTGGTTTTCTTTGTAAAATATGTAAAATAAGGAAACATCAGCTTTCATCTAAAATATTCTCCAGAGAAAACCTGTGACTGATTTCAGCCACAAAACTAAAATTCTTAAGAATGATTAAGAAGGTAATTGGAGTACAAGATTTCCATATAGTTGCCTTGCAGATGTGGAAACATAATTGGAAAAAGCTTGGAAAGCTTTTAAAGTGAGTGAAGGACAAACCTTTGGTTA